CTCTGTCTATCAAATCTAGACCCTTGAATCTATTCTTCACCTCTACTGTATATTCTTCAGGGATGCGATCTAGGTCAAACCTGAATAGCCTAGTGGTCTTCCCAATTTTCTTCAGTTTAAGTCTGAATTTTGCAATGAGTAGCTCATGATCTGAGCCACAGTCAGCTCCAGGTCTTGTTTTTACTGACAGTATTAGGGGCATACCATCAAGGACCAGAAGTCAGCACCCCAAACCCCAGAACCTCCGTTTTAGCAGGATTCAGACTCAGCTGGCTCTGTTTCAACCATCCCACCTCAGCTTCCAGCCCCTCAGCCAAATTCACTGGGGTGGTATCTGGCTGGCCGCCCATCAACAGAAATAGCTGGGTGTTATCAGTGTACAGATGACACTGATGACACCCTAACCTGAAACCCCACACCAGTTGGGTGAGGGGGTGCATGTAGATGTCAAACAACATTGGAGAGGATTGCCTCCTGAAGGACCCCACATACTAAGGGGTGCCTGGTTAACACCTTCTCTCTTAGTGCCACCCTCTGTCCCAACCTTGGAAAAATGAGGTAAGCCACTTCAAACCTACCCCACGAATTCCTACGTTGGTGAGGCGGTAGGTCAAAAGATCATGATCGACTTTGTCAAATGCCACTGTAAGATCAAGCAATAACAGCAGTGGTGACCTGCCTTGATCCAGCTGATTGTGGAGATAGTCTGTGAGGGCAACTAATGCTGTCTCAGTCCCATCGCTGGGGCAGAAGCCAGACTAGAATGGGTCAAGTGCCGATGTGTCTCCCAGGGAATTCTGGAGTTGTTCTTCCACTGCTCTCTCAATTACCTTACCCAGAAATGAAAGATTCAAGACTGGGCAGTAATTGGAAGTATCCATGGGATCCACAGATGGCTTCTTTAAGAGCGGTACTACCACAGCCTCTTTTAATCCCTCTGGATAGACCCCCAAATCCAGGGACAGATTGATAATGTCCACTAGGAAATCCCGTATTCCTTCACCGCCAGCTTTCACCAGCCATGAGGGACACGGGTCTAAGAGGCATGTGGTCGACCTAACTGCACCCAGAATCCTGTCAACATCGGCCCGGGAGAGTCAGCTGAAGCTGGCAAATACCGAATCCAAAGACAGCCAAGGGGCACCAGTTCACATACTGTATCAATATTGGCTGGGAGGCCATAGCAGAGTGACAGGACTTTATCTGCAAAAAAGCCCACCACCCTTTAAGGGGTGGCACAAGGAATGTATAACCCATGGAGGCTTTTATCCTCTAATGAACTCAAAACAGTACAGTGGGAACCACATCTGCTATCCCTTAAAAGCAAATTGAAGGGAAAAGTGCTTGTCTGTGTATGGGCCAACAAGGTCAGGTCTCAACAAGTAACTCATTTTTTACAACTATGCCAAGGTCTATTCAGTTTCATCTGATGGACACCAGAGAAAGCAAGGAACTTCCTTATCGGCTAATAACTTCTAGCAAGAAGATGGTTGAATAGGGTGGGAAGAAACCTGGAAAAACTCTTGGAACTTCCCATATGGATAGACCAGTATTACACACAATCTAAGCTCCCACTGTTCAACAGAAAACTGCTAAAAACTGGGACAAACGAGTGGTATTTCTATGGTGGAATCCTTTACATTGATAAATACAGTAAGAACAGGTTCAATTTTAAACCAGAAGTAACTATGACGACTGTATTAAGACTGTACCTCCTTGGTATTACTGAGCCAACTAGAGTTCCTGCAGCCGAACTACTGGAATCCTGCTAAGTAATCACAATGTTTTCCAGCTAGTTTTCTGAGGTGATCTGGAAGCCTTGTGACTGTGAGCAGTAGTGATTCTAAGAGCTCCTGCCTTTCAAAGGAAGAAGACAATTCCATCACTTTACATAAAGCTGAGAATTCCTGTACTGATTCCTCGAAAACTGAAAGGTCTCCATTTTCACCTTAACAGGATGGGAAGGCACTTCCTCGCTATCCTGACGGAGGACTAGTGTATTCTCATGGACCCCAGGGGTCTCCTATCTGGTTTGAGATCTAGTACATTTTTATCCTGCCTTTTCGCCCAGGATCTCTGGGGGGTGTACTGTCTTTCTCCTTTAACTAACAACCCTGGGGAATAGGTCCAAGGTTACCCAGTGAGATCCCTGCCACCAAGGGTAGTGTTACCATATTTTTGAGAAGCAAAAAAAGAGAACATATTTCCCAACTGGGTACTTCAAACATGTGATCACTGTGACAATTCTCAGAAAGTGACAACCCAGAAAGCAGGCTTTTTCATCAGTTTTTTAAAAATGAGCTCAAAAGAGGACAGACACCGAAAAAAAGCCCCTTGGTTAGGGTTACCAGATGTCATCTTTTTGAGGATATCTGGTGGTAACCCTAATCAAGGGGCTTTGAACTCTCCTATGCTATAGGAGACCACCTCACATGTCTCTTGAGAAACCTGTATAAGGGCCAAGAAGCGACAGTTAGAACCGGATATGGAACAACTGATTGGTTCAGCATAGGAAAAGGAGTACGACAAGGATGTATATTGTCACCTTGCTTATTTAATATATATGCAGAGTACATCATGCGAAATGCTGGCCTGGATGAATCACAAGCGGGAATTAAGATTGCTGGGGGAAAGATCAACAACCTCAGATATGCAGATGATACCACTGTAATGGCAGAAAGTGAAGAGGACCTAAAGAGCCTCTTGCTCAGGGTAAAAGAGGAGAGCGCAAAAGTGGGCTTGAAGCTCAACATCAAAAAAACTAAGATCATGGCATCCGGCCCCATCACTCCTTGGCAAATAGAAGGGGAAGTCATGGAAGTAGCGACAGACTTCACGTTCCTGGGATCCCAGATCACCGCAGACTGTGACAGCAGCCATGAAATTAAAAGACGCCTGCTCCTTGGGAGGAAAGCGATGGTGAATCTAAACAGCATAATAAAAAGTAGAGACATCACCCTGCCAACAAAAGTCCGCATGGTCAAAGCAATGGTATTCCCAGTAGTCATGTATGGCTGCGAGAGTTGAACTATAAGGAAGGCCAAGCGCCGAAGAATAGATTCTTTTGAACTATGGTGCTGGAAAAGACTCTTGAGAGTCCCTTGGACTGCAAGAAGATCAAATCAGTTAATCCTAAAAGAAATCAACCCTGACTGTTCCCTGGAAGGCCAGATAATGAAACTGAAGCTCAAATACTTTGGCCACCAAATGAGAAGGGAGCACTCAATGGAGAAGACCCTGATGCTGGGAAAGATTGAAGGTCAAAGAAGACGGGGACGGCAAAGGATGAGATGGTTAGACAGTGTCATAGATGCAACAAACATGAAGTTGAGCAAACTTCAGAGGACGGCAGAAGACAGGAGGGCCTGGCGTGATCTGGTCCATGGGGTCACGAAGAGTCGGACTCGACTGTGCGACTGAACAACAACATGCTATAGCATGCTGGCTCACATAGCAGTTTTTTTTTTTTTTTGGCGGAATTATCTGATAAGGGCCTACCGTCATCCCAAGATGCCACACATGAAACTGCCTTATACTGAATCATGCCCCTAAGTCCATCAAAGTCAGTATTGTCTACTCAGACTGGCAGTGGCTCTCCAAGTTCTCAGACACGTCTTTCACATCACTTACTGCCAACTGGAGATACGGAGGACTGAACCTGGGACCTTCTGCACACCAAACAGATGCTCTGCCACTGAGCCACACAGCACCTCCAAAGATCAGTGAAGTTCTGAGATTATCAAACGGGCCCTTTGAACGACAATTTGAAGGTGTGCAAAGTCCCCTTTTAAACAAACCAGCTGCTTTTGAATCACAGGAGAACTGTGGCAAATCGATGAGTAACAGCCCCCCCTGCACTCGGGAATTAGCCCCAAAGACCTCGTTGAGTACCAGATGCAAAGGAGAAAGACTGGAAGTAGACCAATGGCCTGGGAGTCCCATATAAAGGAGAGCCCGCATCAAGGGGCGGGCCAGTGGCAGAGAACGGAGCAGCTGAGTGGCCGCTTTGCTCTCAGTCTCCACCTTTCCTTCTAGCTTTGCGCCAACCCGCTGGAAACCTACATTCCTTTGGCGGCGGCGGCGGCTTCTCGCAAGCTGCCTCTCCAACCTAACTTTCCTCCAACCACTGTGGCGACTCCTCCCGGCAGAACACACCCACTGCCGGGATCCAAGCCCTCCACGGCTTCGGCCTCCACCTCTTCTCTCAGCCGGGCGGCTCTTCGTCGCCCCGGCCTTGTTCCCACTTGAATGGGCGACGGTCAGGGGGAGTTGCCGCGCACGTGTGAAACGCCCGAGAACTTAACTGTGGTTGGAACTACAAGGCCGGGGGTGGTGGTGAGGTTGCGGCTTGCTCACCTAATAGAGACGCTCCCCTTTCAGGCCCGTCCCCCCCCTTCCCGCCTTAGGCAGCTATTGGGGGGGAGTCGCGCAAAGGCATCATTGTGGGCTCCCACTCCCTGCTGCCTTTTGATGGGATCATCCTTCCCGGGTATAAAAATTAGAGGAGGGGGGGGGGAAGAGAAAAAGAAAGTCCCAAGTCAAGTCCCCGACGTCTCCAGCCTTGCAGTCGCA